TATTTCATTCTTATTCTATTGGTTATTCATTTTCTCATAGACATGATTCATTGCAAACTTTGCAGGAAACCGTCGGTGAGACTTTATGTTATTATTATTACATTTTTATGGTATCAATCGAGAGAAATGTATGACAGGACATCTTCGCCCATAATCGTAAAGACAGAGCAGTATTTACCTCTGTTACATATTATATTTTATTATATAGACACGAGTATTTTACCGGAAAATATACCACCCGTAAGAGTCATAAAAACTACATCCGGGACCCGAGTGGTTTATTTTCCATAATCTCACACGTGAGTTTATCGATGACGTAATTTCGGTGATTTCCCTCTATTATTTTATCAATGTCTTTTTGTCTATATAATAAAAAGAACATTACACGGCGGCTTGAAGATATGAATTTTATTTTCTCGTGGAAAAAACAATAGTTAACTCACTTGCTGCGCTCGTTCGTAAAATATTGTTTTGCCACTCGAAAATAAAATTCATATCTTCGCGCCACCGTGTAATATCCTCTACAAATTAAGTTATCGGCAACTTTGGATAAAGGGAAGCTTAAAAGGTTTAATAGTAGTGTCTCAAAAATGGCTAAGCTAAAAAATACTATAATTGGCAAGGTGACGTCATGTGACACAAACCGTCCTGATTTTAGTTTCGCCATTTTGTATTTCATAAAAAAAAAACTAGCACCCCATCTGAACCATGATTGAAATAATAGACTTCGGTTACTTGAAAATAACTTACAGCCTTTCCAGATTCTTAAGGCTAGAAAATACACTTTTGGGTAGAGTTTGGATGGCAGGTGAATATGTTAAATACCTGTTAAAAGTTATCGTAAAACAGGGAATACGTTATTTTCTTAAATAACAATCATACGTGAGCAATATCGCAATGACTAGCATTTAGTAAATATGCCAATGTCTCATAATTTCTATTTTACACATCGAATTTAATTCTTTCATCTACTAGTAAATTAGTTTTAAGGTTATGTACAAATGTACTCGGCAACTCTCAAAACTTCAATTAAAAATCTTCCATGTTAAAAGTACAGTAAGAACTGAAATTCAGTTTCACTTTAGAGTACTTCCATTCTCTTTAAAAGCGTGCGTGATATTCGAGATTAACCGGCGTTTTATACAATTCAAAAGAATTAACAATTAAATTTGTAAAAAATTAAACTTGATTGAAAATTAAACTTAGCCAATTTTTTGGCGCTTTTATGGACTAAAGCGAATATTTTTCCAGTATATATAATTCAAGACGGTCAAATAACACAAAATGCATTTCTTACAGAATGTCGGTAATCGTTGGTGCGCATTCCTCGATAAAGTCAGATACAGAAGACGTCACATTCTGACAAGAAATGCTATTTTCAGGAATCACAGACATAGTGCATTCTTGTCTGCAATCTGCATCAAAGAATATTTAAAGATAAGAGAATAAAAAGCTCCTAATAACTATTTCTGACTATTAGGATCGTTTGAAAACAATAACTGACATGTATGCAGTTTGAGGGACAGATTGTATTAACCCTAGGAAGTACAAGGAGAGGGGAGGTGGTTGCCAACCCCACCAAGGTTTTTCTAATTTTTTCCCTAGACGATAAAACATCAGCACCTGAAGTTTTCTGTAGCTGTTAGTTTTTCCTTCGCGCGCATTTTAAGACAAGTTTAGTGACGGTCAGTTACTATGGTTACGAGATAAGACGTCATAAGTACCAGGTGTCAAGCCATTTTTGAGTGAAAATGCATGTTTTTTCAACTTTTTTCACAAGTAAAACTTGTGGATGAAATGATGCCAAGTAATTATTTATGTGTTATTTTACATGTTAAACGCAAAAAATTATTAATTCACACTGTTTTTACCTGATTTCTAATTCTTGATAAAATCCAAGACGGCGGTCAAGATGGTGACCATGTTTGGTGACGTCACAAACCTTCAGCAGCGCCACCACCCATAAAATATATCTCCTCTTGTAGAGAAGATCAAAGGCTTTCCACCGAAGGCAAAATTGCAGCATATTAACAACCCAAGGGGGTTCTATCAACCCCCCCCCCTCCCCCTTGTACCACGGTGGGGGTGTGACTGAATGTAAGTCCGAGGGTGAAGAGGGATTTGATAGAAAAATGATACGACATCACAAACCAAACAGTACTTACCGATAAAAACGACACTGAAATCAGTTCTCGTATAGTTTCCATAATTATTGACTGCTACACAACTGTAGTTTCCTTGAGCTGATAATTTGAACTTTCCAGTGCTGACTGCACGTCCAAGTACTGTGGAGTTCTTCATAAAACTTAAAACTATCGGTGGAGTTCCAGTGGTTGTTACTGATAATCTAGCATCTTTAAATGCGCGCACAGTAAAAGCAGGATCTGGTAGAATTATCTTGGGTAAAGCTTATTGATGCGAAAAAAGAAAATAAATAAATAAAATAAATCACTACAGGTAGTCTTCTATATTTTAAATATAGTATTCAAAAGGCATTTTGTCGTCGAACCTCTACAGGAAAACTCTGTTTGAGCCGCAAGCCACAGTCAAATTATAACCTGCGATCAAATACAAAACACGTACTGCTCGATCTGCCCAACAAGACCAAGAAGACAACAGGAGACAGGGCGTTCTTTGCAGCCGCGCCGACCCTGTGGAACTCTCTTCCAGACGAGTTGAGAGCTTTGGGCAGTCTCAAAACTTTTATGGCACGGTTAAAAACTCATTGTTTTAAATTAGCTTTTAGCTTATAACCTATAATATTTTAACATAGATTTTTTGCACGCATATATAATATTTTTATCTAGTATCCATTTATTAACTATTTAGAAAAGCTGTAATTTTTTATCCATTTTATTGTAGTATTATAAGCATTGTAATGTAAAGCGCATTAGATCATATACCAATGTATTTTGCGCTATATAAATAATAAAGTTATGTTTTGTTATGCATTAAACATGAATTAAAAAAACTGAAGGCACTTCAGCACATTTGAAGAAAACATGCTTGACAGAGCAGATGAAACCCGTCTATGAATTAAACACCTATTCTGTTACCTCGATGTTTGTTCTTGTTTTAAAGCTAGTGGTTCAAATTGTTTCCTTACATTTTCTCTTGAAATTCATCGCCAAAAGCGTTTCTTAACCGCCAAGTTAAAAAAAAGTTGCGAAAACAGGGCCTGGTTGTATTATCGCGGTTTTGTTGCTTAGCATCTTCGAACACCAACCAAACCAATAGAAATGTAGCAAAAAGTTGTTCACTTCCATCTTAGTGATCCACGCACGATCCACGCAACAGCTACCTAAATTTCGACAAAAAGTTACCCTGCCCCCCCCCCCTCCACCACCCTCCGAACGTCCTTTGTCCTCTTATTGTGAAGAAGAAGAAGAAAAGATCAAAGAATTATTAAATTTTCCCCATGCCCAAAATATTTTAAATGAATTAGCTGTGTAGAAATTTGATTTGAGCTATTGTTGTGGTTTTGTTGAACTCAATTCTTACAAAACCACTTACTGGGATGAATAAAGGTGAACAGCAGCATAAATCCTCTGTTTTGGTAATCACCGTCAGAGTGGAATGTTATCAAAGCTTCTTTGCCACCCACAAATATTTCCTTTCCAGTACTTTGACCACAATCATGAGTAACGTAATTGTTTTCATCATCTGTAACTTTTAAATAATCATAACTGAAACGCAAAATTATAGTTGATCAATAATAAAACTAGCTCAAGGGGGTTGCTTTATGCTATGGTGGTGGGAGGGGGGCGGAGGACTCACAATCGTAACATTGATGGTTAGCCGAGTGAACTTGAAGCTGCTAAGTGGACAACTTATTTGAATACTGTCAATTTACCTAAGGCATATGTACATGGCATATATCGCTCAATATATGATAGAGAATATTGCATTTTCGTTTCTAAATGGCGTCAAGGAATGTCTAGGTAAGTGTAACATTAAATACCGATAACAATAATGAATAACACAATTACTGGAAATTCCAGTAGTTTTCATTGTGGTCCGATTTAAGATTGGCCGTCACGTCTCGTCACGTGACAAGCCAAAGTCATTGTGAATTATAGAAAAAGATTTGTAATAGGTAAGCCCTGGAATTGGATAATTTAAGCCGAAAAGAAGAAAGAGCCACTTTCCAGCTCAAAATGGAGAGTTTGAGAGTCACCACTTCGTTCTTGGATACCCCAACTGAAGAAAACAATTCTTTAGTGTTTACCTTTTTAGACAGTATGGCTAAGAGACGTAACAGAATATTGACGTAATAGAAAGTCAATAAAGAATGTTTCTCAAGTTACCATTTCCCAGTAAAAACATTTGGATACTCCAAAAGAAAATCTTGATAGGTGATTTTCAATGCCATGCCCCCTGGAATAACGATCTTGTAAACGCAGTGCATATTGCTTGGGTAGTCATTTGGATAATCAGGGCTTTTCAATGTATTGTTGAAAACCGAGCCACAACCTGTGAAATGAAAAGCACCATTCTTTAAGGGGCTGTGACACCACAATTATCAAAATTTCAACGGTAGAAACCACGACCAAACTGATTGAAAAACAAAAATTACTGCTCACAACATGAAAAGAGGGTATCAACAGCACAGTAAATTCAAAAGGAGTAACGTATGAGCAAACTTGAAGAAGATTGAAACGGATCGGTGTCGTGGTTATTGACAACTGGTTAACCTAACACTTTTTTTAAAGTTCATTGTTCGTTTTGCAACTTTTAAAATAATGTTTGAGAGGCATATTTCTTTGACACGAACTTAAAATTTTCAAATTCCATAGAGAATATGAACGCGTACTGAACTGTATTATCAACAAAATAAACAGGACAACCATGACACAGCCTTTGTTTCACTCCAGAAACACGTAAAAACATGACAATGCATTGAGTTTCTGACTGTTCTCAGAGCCTTCAAAGCCCCTCCGGTCCAATTAAAACCTTCTTAAAAGATGTTAAAACATGCCACTCTATGAACCGCCATTTTGGATCATGTTTAAGGTGGGTCGGTAGGGTTTTTCAGGGTCAATATCTCTCAAGTTTAAGCAAAAACTATGTCGCCATTAACAGAGATTTGGAAAAATTACCACAGCTTTATTGGATAAAATTGAAAATTTGTTATGATCAGGAATACAATGACAGCGAAGTTGTAACGACAACGATTTGACACCATTACTTATATTACTTGCAGCTGTATTTCGTGGCACTGGGGAAATCTTTTAAGAAAAATCTATGCAAGCGTTATCGACATACTTTGGGATGAAGTTTTTATGGTCGGAGAGTCCGAAATACGGTTAAAACTGGACAATCTTGATTTTCAGCCGTTATCCGTCGAAACGCTTTTAAATTAATAGTAATAATAATAGTGATAATAATAATGACTTTACTGCAGTACATCCACTATGTGGCTCCTCGCCTGCATCTCTAACTAGTGCTTAACTAAAATTACAAATATTTTACTTAAAAAAATAGATAAGTACAATATTTACTATTAAACAGTAATAAAAGAAGAAAACGTAGTACATAACTGTATGAAAACAAACAAATGGATACTATAAGCAATTTTATCTCATAGGAGTTTCAATCTTTTTAAAAACGTGTGTGAAAGATCATGGAGATAGCCTTAGTCGATCGCAACGAAGAAGGATTTCATTAGTATGCTTTGAGGCGCTCTATAGCTAGTGGTTTTGTAAACAGTTTGGCCTACTTAAACAGATAAGCGAATAATTTTGAAACTGCTAGATCACTCAAGCTCGTCATCCCAGCTGGGATATGAGGTCGAAAAAAAATTGAGATTCTCGTGATTAATAGATCGTTTTATTTTTACCTTTGCAAGGCAGTAAAATAAGGGCTTCAATTCGCTAATTTTGTCGGCAATTTGGTGTTAACAAGCAAGACCCGCCTCTCATTATTCAAGGGGCGTTGTCTCCAAGTTTCATTTTCCTAAAACAGCAGTAGCTAAAAATGCATTTGAAATATGCAGAAATGTTGGCTATTGTTGTCCACGAAAATATGAAACTTGGAGACAATATCCCTGAATAATGAGAGGTTCTCACTTGTAAACACTTAAAACTTGCAAACTCGCCACGCGGCCAAGCTGTTAATCATGATCCAGAATGGCGTCTCAAAATGCCGCATTTTTTGGAATAATAGGAATGTTAGTAGCTAAACTCAATAAATAATAGAACATAGTCTTACCTATGATAACAACAGGAATAACCCTTATATTAGTTCCATAATAGCTAGTGGCAACACAACTGTAGTTTCCTCCTTCATTTAAGCTCAATTCTGCAGATCTGGTTGTATTTTGCTGCACACTTCCGTTGAATATTATTGCTGTGTATATAGAAGGTGTCCCCGTGGATGTGCACTTTAGTTTCGTGACACCAGCTGGTGTTCGAATAATAGTACCTGGAACTGGCGCTGTAATATTGGGAAAGACTGAAAAGACAAATAAGTTCTTCTGTTATCTAAGGTGCAGTACAATGATACGCAAAAAACAGCATTTACTTCAACACAATGGATTAGAATACAGTCGGAGTCGGAAGTTTCTCGAGAAACCTAACCTAAAGCGACATGCAAGCGGAAGCAACAATGTTGCGTCCGCTTGCAGGGGGCCTACTAGATTTTTGACGTCCTCATTGCCGCTGCCGTTGCGAGGCATCATGAAATTCCCCATTTATTAACGCGTAAACGCCTTAGCAACTCCGGTAATACGATACAAAAAAATACAATGCAATGCAATACAATAAAGAGGGATGCAATGCATCATAATGACATGCAATATCAATGCATGTTCAAAGTAAAAACAATGCGGAACTCGCGAATACACCGTATAGAAAATCTAGAAGTCATGTGATAAAAAAAATAATTCATTCAAAATGATATGCCCAAGAACATTCCCGCGGCTGTCGTGCATGTACCTCTCAAAACACGCTTCGCGTATCCACGAGCTCAACTCTCCGAGTCTCAGGAGTTACACCGTTCAAGTGGCCTTATGATCGAGATACTCATCGTAGATTATATTGACAGAGTTAGAGCGAGTAAATGAGTATCCAAAGTGCACTTCGGCAACAACGCCAATATGTCGTTTTCATATCGGGCAGCGAAGTCTCTCGATTTCGGAGCCGAAGATTGCCTACATCTGAGTGAGTCAGGGGCACCCAACGCCAATTTTCGGAAAATATCTGTTCGGAAGACGATTTGAGATCTAGAATTTCCGGAACATTTTTTGTAAAATTTCTTGCCTGCCTACCTCTCCTAGGATTTTCGAACATCTAAAACTTGGTGTAATTGCCCATTTTTAACGGATTTTTACCCTAAAAAGCTCACCTAGAATTTTCGGGAGCGTTTTTTCTGGCTGAAATTTTCGAAAAGGTAAGTTTTGATCCCTATGATTTTCGGATCTCGAGACTTTCAGCTAGGAAATCCGAACAGATGAAAAATTTTTAGGGGATAAAAATATGCCTATATCTACCGATTAAATACTAAAATACGTTTAACAATGCTATGTTTAAGTGGTTTTGAACTATATTCTCGTTGGGTGCCCCTGGTGAGTAACACATTTGCATATCGAAGCCCACCATAACAACTCGCAGCACGCTTTGGGCACTTACAAGGCTCCAAAAAAGTAAAATTAAGGAAAAATCCTCTTTTTTCTCTCCATCCGTTTGAGAAAAAAGTTAATAATGCTTGACTTCCTCCAACTACAGCTTCTTCGCCAGTAAGCTCCCCACAGAATCTACCGACCTCCACATTGTTTTCGTTTGCAACCTTTAGGTAATCATAAAAGCTGCAAGAAATTAAATATAGAAATAAATAGCCCACGCTTAAAATTCTAACATGACTCTAGTAGGGTTTCATAAGGTTCACAAATTGCTTCAATTCTTTATTGAGCATTTCGTTATCCACTTCCACATTTTAAACTACACAAAGTTTTTATGGTTCTTATTGGAAAAACAAGGAGGGGTTGAATAAGAATGTATTAAACTACCCTGCGAACAGGCTGGTCTTACAAGTAACCTGCATACTATAATTGCTCACCACAAGGACATCATGCGTGGTATTAGAGGGTCCTGCAACCAAAAATCGAGAAACACTATTTTCAGCGCCATTCCCTCTGGAATAGAAACACTGTACACACAGTGTGTATTGCTTGGGTAGTGGCTTGGATATCCAGGACTCTTAAGGGTTTTGTTGACCACTAGCCCACAACCTATTAAACATGTTCAATAAAACGGTATTAGTAAAGAGAACACAAGGCCAACGAGGGAGGAGGCACTCCCTATAATGGGAGTTCTCCGAATAATGTGCTACGCTGCAGCAAAACCAAGCAACGTTCCACGTCCCCCGCCTCCCAACCACCACCACCACCACTCACCCGCTTACCATGGTGGGAAATTTTTTTTTTTTCAGTTTAGATTTCAAGATAAGAAACAACAACCACGACAATCAATCATTTTTTTGTTGCTTAGAACCGTTCTCCTGTTCATTGATTTCATTTGAAACATTCTTACGGCTGAAATACCAATTCACAATAAAACAGTCCTACTCTAGAAGTCGAGGAAATGTTGGACCATTTAAAAATACTTAAACTTTCCCCGGAGAAATACAGCCTTTATTTGGTCCTGCAATATGTATTTGGCAAACGCTTGTGGTTATTTCTGATATAATTTCAAAATAACCAAAAAGAAATATGTAAGTTGTTTTACAAACTTACCGGATGCTGCAAGAGTGCCAAAATGGCCAAACCACCTCACAATTAATAAAACGAAGTGAACTTTCATGACGCCGAAGTATTGTGTGCCTTTGCTGTAAAAAATAAGAATCACCTCAGTAAATGAAAGTGTCAGTATCTCGAGATTACAATGCCAACGATTTTCAATCGATTCGATGTCTAGAATACCGTATAACGTTTAAAAACAGTTGCTGAAGACACACATATTTAACTACTCTTGATATAACATGGCTCTTACCATGGCATCATGTTTTTTTTCAGTGCCAGAATACTCTAGGACCTTTATTGTTATGCAAACCAGGGATTTTGCATGTTACTGAAACATCACAGTGATTATTCACGGTGATTACTTTGGTTCTCCTCGAAAATTTTAATGAAATGAATTTCGGTCGTTGTGGTAAAATGATAACATCTGCAAATGGCACAGCTTGGTTTTCCAAAGGAAGCTCTGCTTATGAAGATCTCGAAATTTTAAAACAAGAGAAGAAAATGCAAACATCACCACTGTGCTTTCATTTTTTTAGCTTCTGCTTTACCTCATCTTTAATTCCTATATTTGTGGTAAACTTAGGTACCTTCATGCGGCATCAATTTTTCATCCCAAAATCTTCCAAACAGCATGTAACAGAAAACTCACACTTTGGAATAATAAACTCGGCTGTAACAATATGAACGCACACATTTCTTTGTCCTAACTTCAGGTAAGGTTGGTAGAAGTAATTTTATCTCAAAGGGAGGGCATTTTGCAGTTCACAATATGTTGTCAGCTGTTAGATTGGAGGTGCAGCCTGACTTCAAGAGTTAAAAAAATGGCTGAAAGTTTTCAAAAGTTAAGCGAAGGCGAAATAGCCCGGTGAATAAATGACTCAGTAGAAGGCAAGGTTGTCAACTAGTTTTTGGCAGAATATTTATAATCGATATTTTTCATGACAAAGAGATGCTGTGTCCTGCTTTCCTTTGAGTTGTCCCAAGAAATTTTACTGTACTTGAGAAAGAAATGAAAGAATTTGACTCAATTCTAGCAAGATACACTGCAATTTTCAACTAGGAAACGACTTTGGCCAAGAATTCCCCAAGTACTAAAACACAATTAGTCCTTATAGCTTTTTCTTCTTTGTTACAAACCATCTTCTTTCATCTTTGTTACAAACCAAAACATCTTTAACCTTGGAGTCGTATAATGAAACGTGTTACAGTGCTAGATCTTTAGCTAAAGAGACTTGATGTTATATGATAAAACGCGAATTCACC